AGTACAGATCCTATGCATTGTTTTATAAATGAGACCCCAGGTCATGATTTTAGGAAAGAGACTTTGCTGCTGAGTTTTTCAAATGTATTTCTTTGGCACCATCTCATTATATGCTATTATATTCAAGAGAAGGCAGAAATCTCTACGGCCGATATCTCCAACACTCAGCAACTCACACCAAAGCCATCTATACTGATAGATATGACTACAGGTTTGATTTTGGGGTGAACTGTCCCTTTTAACAGTGTAGTAAACTGAATGTCTTTAGGTTCTGGAATGTTGGTTGGACAGTAAAAGCACTTGATGACATTATGTTCAGTTTTATAGACCAAATAACTCATCAGTCAATCGAGATAATCATCAGATGTTAAAGATATGTGTTGTAGCCATAATACAAAGTATGTGTCTGTGAACCGTCTGCAGTGCTGTGTGCACTCTGACTGAAGGCAGCCTGTCTTGAAATTAGGTTTAGTATTGGAAAGCATCATCTTACATGGAGAGCCATTACCCTGACTCGTGGTGTGAGACAGCTTTTGTCTCTTTGCTTCTTGCCTCAGGATCCTTCTAAGCTCACCGAAACAAAAAAAAAGTAAAGCTGATACTTTTATGTGCACTGAAAAATTCACCTGAATGTTTCAGAAAAAAAAAAAAAAAGCCGGAGCGCATCTCACTCTGCTCGGCTGGTGGAGATGAAGATGCACAGCGTGGGCTGTCTTTAAATTTCAATAGCACATTAATAATGCATGAAACAATAAACACTGCACCGTGTCGAACAAGCGAGCACTTCTCACCAAATGCTCGCTGCTGTTTGACCAAATTATTCTGCCTCAACGTGGCAACCGCTGCCATTTGTCTCACAGTGAAGCACTTATTAAAGAAGAGGTGTGTGTTGCTTTGTGCAGCTGCGATCACTGTGGCATTACAGTCCAGCTGACCCATACATGTGCTTCATATTGTTTCAGGGGGGCTGTGCTGCTCCCTCACATGCAGGAATATCATGTTACACAGCTCTGAGCAGACCCCCACCCACATGTCTGTCAGCCTCCTATGATTTGATCATGCACCAGTCTCTGTGTAACATTATATCCTGTAATGTGCAGTGCATTATATTGTTGGGGGATGATATGGAGGAGATTTCTGCACACATTCAAGAGACGTTTTAAACATAGCAAAGAAGGGAAGAGAAGGGGCGAAACTTAAATTGAGGCCTTTACAAGTGCAGAAAGCTCCATCATGGCAGTGAGGAGAATTTGCAGTGAGTGGGATTGTGCGGCACAACAGAGAATAGTTCATACATGCGAGCGAGAGTCACAACAACGCTGGATTGTGTGCGTGCTCAGGCTGAGGATGAGTTAAATCTTTCACCGGGCCTGTTGTGCTGTTGTGGTTCTGTGTGGGAGGAAAAGCGAGTGAGAGTTAGAGAGCGAGCAGCTGTAGCTATGGTGAGCACGGGGCGGCTGGCTCGAAGGATATTACAGAAGTGGGTGGGGGCGGGTGGGGAGGGGGGATTATTTGTCAAGGGGAGTGTGGGGGAGGTGGGGGTCCTTCAAGATGCCCTTCTCTCTCACCCGGCAACCACTCAGCCCCCCCCTCCCCACCTCACCCTCCCTACACCGCCTTCACTCACTCAGTGACTCACTCTTCCTCTGTCTCTGTCTTTTTTTTGGTCCCTTTCACTCATTTTTTTTTTATTGGTCACCCACTCAGCTTCGACTCATTTTAGATTCACTGGAAATGAAAAAAAAAAAAAACAGGGGACAGGAGTGAGTTAAAGCTCCTAATCTCACACAGGAGGAGGGGAGATAAGCCCAAGACAGGTCAAAGTCTGTAACTCCTTCTCCCACTTCTTTTCCTCCCCTTCCCTTTTCCTCCTCCCCCCTTCCCTTCTGCCACTCTGGCTGCTCTTTGTTACGTCATCTGTCTTCTCCCATTATTTTCTGCCCCCCCCCGCTCTCTCCCTCCTGTCGCCCCAGCAGTGAGTCACTACCTGTATTGTTTCCTCAGTAACTGGAGGATTGATCAGTGCCACTCACAGTGTTCCTGTTGTCTGGGCTCGATCAGGCTAATGCAGGGGCTCCTCTTGGCTGCTGTCCTGCAGGGGTAAAAGATTTGGAGGATAATTGGAGGAGGAGGGGGTTACTCCACCAAGTGCTCACTAATCTAGGAAATGGAGGCTCTTTGCTTTTCTTGACAGGGTGATTGTTGTTGTTGCTGTTGTTGCTTTGTGTGTGTGTGTGTGTGGCCTCATTCCTGGCTGTTCCGGTAAGCGGTGTGACATCACCGGAGCGTGTCTGGTAAATGATATCTTGGATGTGAATCCCTACATGTCTTTCACACGGGTCTAACCATGTCTCTAGTCTGACAAAGACCTGCAGTGCCAGGCAGTTGTGTGGTTGAAGCAGTGGCCTTATTGAGAGTGGTGCAAAGTAACTTGGTACATTTACTCAGACACTGTACTCAAAGGGACAGTTCACCCGAGAATCAAAAAACCTCTTACCTGTAGTCCTATTTATCAGTCTAGGTAGTTTTGGTGTGAGTTGCAGAGTGTTGGAGACAGTTGTATAGATGTCTGCCTTCTCTCCAATATAATAGAACAAAAAAAAGTGTCAAATTCTATATTTAAAAACACTCAACAGCAATGTCTCTTTTCAGAAATCATGAGCCGGTTGCTCAAGATAATCCACAGACCTTGTTGTGAGCAGTTTCATGTAGGAACTATTTTCTCTCTGCTGAACTACACCCACCAACTGCATCACTGTGTAGAAGGAAGTGTGCATCTACTCATGGGCGAGAGGCTCTTGCTTGTGACAGCGTGAGATGTGAACATTAATCAGCTCCTCCAGGATGTCGCGATCAGAACATTTAAAGCAAATTCAACCAATCTTGTTGGATTCTGTGCGACCCTGCAGTTTTGTCCAATCACCACAATTTTCTGCAAATTTGACCAGTCATCGTAGTTTCCTGTAAGATTCACCAGTCTTAGCACTCCCCCACATAATGTCACCAAACTCCCTACACTGTAAGATGCAGACATATGAAACATAACGTCTGTCATTTAACAACAAAAATAACTGTTTTGCACTTTGTGCAATGTTGTGGTGGAACAGTAACATCGACTGACGAACACTTTCCTAACATTGACTCAAAACACAGCCGGAGAATCAAACACATTAACAACAACAAGACAAATCACCATGACAAAGGCTGTTGCGTCCAAATCTATTACATGTGCTTAAAGAATCAGAGTTAGATTAGATAAACATGGATAGTGGTACCATTAGTGTAGTATTAATAAGAAACTCAGAACACTGTGGTTTTATTCTTACTGAAACATGTTTCCTTCAATTTTAAATGAATTACACCCAAATACCAGAACTACCTTTTCAGTTTTCACTTGTTCCCACAATTTTATTGCAACAAAACATAGCAGCATGCATCACTTTTTTGGTTTAGAAAAGCTGCCATGAAATGAGGCATTTTAGGCTGCAACAATCCCCCAAAAAAGCCTGCGAAATCGTGATGGGACTGACAAATGTCATCCTCCTCGGCTGAGCTCAGGTGAGCTAGCAGTAGATGCACACTTCCTTCTGCACAGTGATACATTTGGTGGGTGTAGTTTGGTGGAAAGAAAATAGTTCCTACATGAAACTGCTCACAACAAGGTCTGTGGATTATCTTGAGTAAGCAGGTCATGATTTCTGGAAAGAGACATTGCTGTTGAGTTTTTGAAACGTACATTTTTTCGTGCTTTGAGCACCACAAGCCAAGTGTCATCTAGTTCCATTATATTAGAGAGAAGGCAGACATCTCTACAGCTGATATCTCCAACACTCAGCAACTCAACAAAACAATTGAGACTGATACATAGCACCACATGTGGTGAACAAAATGTATGTATTATTGATTTTGGGGTGAACTGTCCCTTTAAGTTCAGTTTTTAGGTACTTTCTATTTCACTACAATTCAGTGGGAAATACTGCACTTTTCACTCCTTTTCACTGCTGTTATCTATCAACTATAGACAGCAGCTAAGATTTTACATAAAAAAACTCATGATACTGTACATTCATAAAATATAATAATTTGTTAAACATTAAATCGATGGTTCCTGACTTTTTTGTCTTGTGACCCCTGTAGTATCTATAGTCAGGGCACCCTTGATCCACCTCATAATGCTTAAGATGATACGCAATAAGAGGTGAGAGGTACCAGCACATGAAAACAATGCTTCCTCAATACTGTTTGTGGAAAGACAACTCATTTAATTTGCATAAATATGTATAAATATCATAAATAATTCAGTTTTGGGGTTGCAGTCTGGTTTTATAAATAGAACCAGCTTTAATTTCCACATTAAATATTCTGCATGTTGTATAAACTAGAAGAAAACTTGTTTGTAACATTTTTAGTCTTTTCACACTTTTCTGCAACTCTTCTGTCCTTCAGAATGGGTGTCGAGGCCTAGCTGTTGAAACACTGATTCAGTGTTCAAGAAATAATTGTCTTCGCTGAAGAAAGCAGGACATGAGAGGGGGAAGCAGTTTTGATGCGGCAGAGCTTCTGTTTTACTTGCAGCAATTAGTTGATTAATCTATAGACAGAAAATGATCAGGAACCTTTTGATTAAAATCTTTTCATTTCATTTTAAAGCAAAAAATGTCCCAAATCCTCTTTTCAGCTTTTCAAATGTGAAACTCTGCAGCCTTTTCTTATCATAAATTGTGATTCTGTGTTTAAGCTCTTGACTGTTAAAGTGCTTTGCCTTTTTTTTTATTTATTCCAGATATGTTATTGTGTGTTTATTGTTACGCACCAATCACCAAGGGAAATTCCTTGTAAGAGAAAACCTTCTTGTTAATACATCTTATTCTGATTCTGAGTCATGTTGTACGTACACGTAACCATGGTCACAGTGTTTAGATATTGTGGTGAAAGATGTTGTAATATTTGATTGTCAGTATTGCTCAGTCCTAACATGTCACATGTTTTCTTTTTCTCAGGCTCCGTCTCCCTCAGACATTGTGGTGTTGCCCTGTCAGAGCAGTCCAGAGGACTGTGGCAGTAATTCAGGGGACGGGACGGTCCACTCCTCATCTGGCAGGGGGATTAACTCACGCTGGTCCACTCTGTCCTGGGATGCTCCCTCTGACCTGCTGTCTCCCCCAACACCAGACCCCAGTGGTATGGTCCATCTGGACAGTGACTCCCGACCTAGTTCAGGTAAACACACACACACCTACAAACTCTTGTTCAGTGTGTGGTCCTCAGCACTGACCCGAGCAGTGACCAACACACTGGTTTGTCACCTTCTGGTATCACTACAGCTCACCTTGTGTACGAGAACTCTCATTAAACATTAACTGAACTCTTGTTACTTTGTTGACCTGCGCTTTGGGACTGGGCTCTGACTCATTTGTTTCTGTCTTGCTGTCAACTTTTCAACCCCTGTTGCTAAACTCTTATCCACTCTCATTGTGACTGCGGTTTCTGTGTCACTACACCCAGCGCTGACATTCCTCTCCCTGCTGCGCACTCACACACCTTCTTTTAGTCTGTTCTATACTGTCTGAAAACTTAACAAGTGATTCAACTCAAACCTAAAGACCTAAAGAAGTTAGATCAACTTTTTATTCTTCCAAATCTTAAATTCTTTTTTCTTCACTGTGTTTTGTTTTGTTTATGTTTATTGGCCTTTCGTTCATTTTGAATAAACAGAACAAACATCATCTCTCCCGTCCCAAATAACAAAACGTTCTTAGTAAAATGAGAAACTTTGACAAACGTATTATCAAGTAAAAGTTAGAAGATACTTAGAGATAAGCAGGGCAGCAGCAGCTCAGTCCATAGGGACTTGGGTTGGGAACCAGAGGGCTGCCGGCTCAAGTACCAAGCATGGTGTGTTGACTGGTAGCTGGAGAGACGCCAGCTTGCCTCCTGGGCACCGCCAAGGCACCAAACCTCCAACGGCTCTGGCTGCCCGTGTATATATGACAACAGGTTGTTAAAATTTAATCACCCTTCAGGGTTTAATCATGTTCTTCTCTTCTTCACAATTGAAAAAAACAAAAACACATATATATAAAAAAAGGGGGATGGAGGGGTTTATATCCCAATCTTAGTTTGTAGTGAAGATTTTTCTGATATTTTTGGAGCTAAAGTCAGTGTTTACAGCTGTTGTGTTTTTGCACTGCTGTACCTTCATGTTAGTCAAACAGTGAGTCCTGTACTGTGACGTCTTTCTCCTGGAATTTAAAGTGCTGAAGTTTGAGTTTCTGTCGCTGAAGTCTTTGTTGAGCTAGTTTTTACTGACCTCTTAACTACCAATGTCTCTTTATGTACATCCAAACTACATAAAACATAATTTCCTTCCCAGGAAATACCTACCACACAGAATATAAGGAGCAGTGAGCAACATGTATGATATTGTTGGATGTGTTTTGTCACCGTTGTTTTTTTGTAAAGACAATAGTGCAACAGTAAAGTAAAAGAAAAATTAGCATCACAGAGAAGGTTTTATGTATTGAACCAGTTAGACTCAAACATCCATTACCAACCCCACTCCATCATTATCCCCCTGTGAGCTCACCACAGTTTATAGTGCTGTAGGGTGTGGCTTGCATTTTCAGATACAGAGCTCAAAATATTCAGATCTGTACTATTCCATGTAAAAAAAAAAAAACATCACTCATGAAATAAAATGAAATGGAATAAAATAAATTAATAGATCAAAGGCAGAATATGTCAAAGTCATTCTACTTCACGGCCAACATACAGCCCAATTTGATCTCAAGTGGGCTGGACCTCTAAAACCATTGCAGAATAATCTATACATTACAACACCTCTGATTGTCTCCTGTGCTTTTAGTGTAAAGAAGTACATTCTGAAAACATTAATCCATTTACAAGACAGATGATGGAACAGCCTGAGATATCTTAAGAAAATAAATCAGCAATATGTCTCAGTTTTTCCACATTCATTGAGTCTATTACTCATATGTGCATACATTTCCACTCCTGTGTAGTAATGCTGACATCACCACACCCTCCCGTACAGAAGATTTACAAATCTGACATTTTGGCAGTGCCTTATCAAAAGGGTTTCACCAACATTGTTTTAAGATTGAAGTCTGATACATCTGCTGATTCACAACATTTTACAGTGTTTAATATCTTTAAATATGCCCACAATAAATATTTATTCTTTTCTCAGAGAGCTGTATTCTGGTTAGGATGAATAGTCTCTGAAGCAGCATTTCACCTGAAGTATTTACTCACTGTTTAACTTTCTCCTGAAACCTGGCACCTCTTAGCCTTCACTAGTGCATTAATACTAGGTGTGCAAAGTCATCCAGTTGGCCGGATCGGACACTTTTCCAGGACCGTTCTGGCCCACATGCAGTACGTTTGACACCCTGGACTAAAAGGTGATGTTTACAGATGTTTAAATTTAGAATTAAAACAGAATTTAAATTTAAATTAAGCATGTGAGCAGGTCAACAAAGAATAAGAAGAAAACCAACAAAGCAGCAACAGCACCAAATATGAATTAATAATGGGCAGTGTATTACATCACAACCAGACAGGGCAAATGACTCTAGGTGCCATCATCAAATCAAATTAATTGTTGGATATTGTTTCCTAGATGTCAGCACAAGACTGAACTTCTTCTCCTCACTCTTGTTAAGGTTTCTATTCAGTGAGCGGGAGCTCTCTGTCGGACTCCTGCTACTCTGTGTCCAGTGATGCTGCTCAGGGAGGATCGGCGCCACTGGCCAGACCTCTGAAGCTGTGGGAGCAGCTTCCTCTGTCGACTGACAACACTGACATCCTGTGGTCAGAGGCTGCAGTGCAGCAGCAGCAGCAGCAGCAGCCTGCACTGCAGAGCAGCCAGGAAGACGCTGAACCAACAGAAGAGACACCAGCTTCAGGTGAGCCGGTGCAGACAACAGAGCCATGTCTTGTTAGTCCATCCGTGTCATTATTAATTTGCAGTAGTTGGCTGAAGCTGGTTCAAAAAGGTCAACTGAAGATGGTTCATAGTAGTGCTCTGGCTATAAAAAAATTAATATATAAATATTTAAGGAATGATGATCTATAATAATTAAACATGTTTTGTCTAAGTTTCTTCTTCTCTTGTCTCTTACAGTCCAAAGTGACATTGAAGGGACTGGTCTGAGCTTCCTGACAGACCTCTGCTCAGGACTTGGTGACTCCCTGATTGCTTCCCTCCTCCAGCTTCTCGACGCCACCCCCTCTTCCTCCACTTCCACCTCCACCCTCCCTCAAAACCCCCAGCTGGACCCTCGCTACTGCACGGACCTGGTGTCCCGTCGGACCAAAGAGGTGTACCCCTTCCCCAGCCCCCTGCATGCTGTCGCCCTCCAGAGCCCCCTCTTTACCTCCCAGAGCCAGGAGCAATCAGCGTCTCCGAGCCCTGAGGGTCTCCAACTAGATGAACCACAAGAATCCAACACTGATCCAACTCTGCCTCTCCACCCTCACCAGCCCCCTGCCCAAGCTTCTCTCACCCAGCTGGAGCAGTACATCTCTCGACTGGCTCGCCAGTACCACAGTCGGGTAAACTCCTCCATCTCCGATCTCCCTTCAGCTGCCACCCCTGGTCAAGTCAGGCACAGAGGCCTTTGTACCCCTGGCAAAAGCCATGGTTCCACCCAGTCCCTTTCTGCCTTTGAGAGCCGCAGTACACCCTCCACCCTGCCGGGGGGCAGCATCACTCCCTGTAAGTCACTGCTGGGAAACTCTGCCAGAATCAGCCTCAGCACCACCGGGAAAAAAGCCACTAGGAATTCAATCAACCTGGGTAACCTTCCTTCAGCAACCGGAGAGGACTTGAACATAAACCTGCATCTCAACCTCAACTTGAACCTGACTCCAGGTTTGAATTCTAGCCAGGGACTGGCGGACAATCCAAAAAATGGCAGCTGTGGAGCTCTGAGGAGCGACTTCACTTCAGCTTCCACTGCTTCTGCTACATCACTCTCCACCACTACACCCACCCCAGCACTTAGGGCTCGCCCTCGCATTTCAACATGTCCAAGCAGCCTGAGCCACCGCAGCTCCCTGGAGGTCACTTCAGCGTCTGGGCCCAGTCCTGGATTCGGGTCCTCTAACTTCTGTCGTTCATTAGACTGGAGCAGTGGTGCTCCACCTGAGACTGGACCGTCAGCGTTTGGTACAAATTCTGGATCGGCTCCTGGGTCTCAGCGCAGTAGCTTGATCCAAGAGTCCAGCTCCAGTCCCAAGCTAAGCGAAGATTCCCCCATGGTGGGGGAGATCTCCCGCCTCTCTGGCCTCTCTCGGGCTGTTGTGGTGGGACTGATGGAACAAGGTGTGGAGCTGGATATTGACTGCTTCCAAACAGATACTGCAGGTGAGGTGAGGGGTCACAGTAAAACCCACCTGACACCCCAGATAGATCAGTCGCATGACTATACTAGACTGACCGACCTGAATCCCCAGAGACCAATACAGCTGTCTCTTAGCGTCACCCATTCACCCCAGTCTCAGTCCAGCCTCACCCCTCCTCTCTCACACTCCAGCAGCCCCATACACCCTTATCAGTCCATCCATATTGCCCCTTCTCACTACTCCTCACACTGCCACTACCAGCAGACCTCTTCCCCATCCGATCTACCCTCTTCTACAGCCTCCTCCCCTGCCTCCCGCCCAACTGCCAGGGGTCGCTCCCCTCCCCGACCTCTCCAGCCATCTCCTCTGGGTGCCACACCGCTTACTGTTTTCCGACGGGATGCGCCCTTCCAGTGCTCCCTGCCTCGCACCAATACAAGGAGCTCTCCTTTGGAGCACGGCGGCATCCAACACAGGGGTGGATCACTTCGGCAGAGTGGGGGAGGAAGTGGGGGTAGCGGTGGTTGGAAGAGGGCAGAGGGGGAGGGGCTTTATAGAGGAAAGCACGCCTCCCACAAGTTGATCCGGGCAGCCACAGTTAGCAGCTACGCCAAGAGAGAGGACTATAGCTCCGTCTGGGCTGAGGAGCAGGAGAGGGAGCGGTCAGCAGCCCACACGCCCAAGAAGAACTCCAACAAGCTCTGGAGGGGCTTTGAGGGACGCCTTTGGAGCAAAGAGTCCGAAAGCGAAAGGGAGGAGATGGACAGAGCGGAGTATGGCTACGGATGGAGGAGGAACAGTGTTGGGAGCTGGAGGAGAGAGCATCGAAGGATGAAGGCTTCAACCAGCAGTAACGACAAGAGGCCGAAAGTAGAGAACTCCCCCATCTTCTCAAAGAAGAGAGGGAAGGAAGACGGAGAGAGACGAAGCACGAGCCTCAGGCTTTCCAGAAGGGCTTTGTTCAGGAGCGAGTCTCAAGGCCTGCTGGTGCCTCGTAACCACGGCGAGGAGCCCACAAGGCGGGCACACTGGGTCTCCTCGTTAGATGTGGGGCAAGGTGGCCTCAGCAAAGACGAAGGCCTCAGACTGCTGAGAGCAAAGGAGGAAGACAAACGCCTGTCCTCCACCGCCAGCCTCTTTAACCTCTCTCGCTCTCAGAGCCTGGAGGGCAGCTGCCACTCCCTCTCCCCTCTCTCCTCCCCTTCCTTCTCTCCATCTCCTCCTCCGCGGGCACCCCTCCAGCGCTCTCGATCACTGAGGGACTTGGGGAGGAGAGTGTTTGGCTCCATGAGGTCCCTGAGTCTCAAACGGAAGCCATCCAAGAAGTGAAGCTTGTACAATAAGTAAATGCATCTTCCATGTGTTACGTTCAAAACACCAGTGACGGTTGGTATTATATTTCATGTAAAGGGAAGTGCCATCATTTTAAAGCAATACTTCCTCCCCCAAATGACCATGTATGTATCAATTCCTCACCCAGTGTTACACTAAATTTGTGAAGCTTTTCTTTTCACATGCCTACAGTGAATAAAGAATCCAAAAACATTTAACAACAGCACAACTATAGATGGGTTTCCATCAAACTTTAACCCGATTTTTTTTAAAAATTGGCAAAACAAAATGTGAATTTTTGCGTTTTTCTATCCGCTACTAAATACTGGAAGCTGGTTCGTTGAGGTTAGCAGAAGGTGGCACTAATTGTCTGATCAGGTGCCATAATACCACTGCAGAAGAAGAGTGTCAGTCGAACTTAAGACGAAAGAAAACAGTTGATATACTGTATATATAATAAAGGAGAGCACATTGGACAATGAAAATAGAGTTTTGAACAGCTCATAGTACAGCTATGTGCTCCTGGAAGAGTTCTGGTAACTGTCCTGAGTACATAAGGGTGTTAAAAGCCTCCAGCAATAACAAGGACAGCTTGCAGTGGCCTATGCCATGATAGTACGTCATGACTGTGCATCATCATTTATTCACTTGGTCTGTTTCCACTGCACTTAGTTGCCTTTTCCTTTTACTGATACACAAACTTTTCACCTCGTCCAAGCTTTTTGTGAGATTTTTTAAATATTTACTTTTTCCACTCATGTTGCAAATTTAAAATGCGCATAAAAAGAGGCGGATGGAAACACACCTTATATCAAAACATCTATTTATAAACTGTCACACACGTTGTGCAGTATAATCCAAGTGTCATTTATCCAGTCGTATGCTCAGTACTCTCTAAACAGACAGCCCTTCCTGATGGGGAACTGAACTGAGAGTGAAACATGTCTGTACTCTACAAAGCCAGACTCCATTGACAAAAACAGTGATTTTACCTCACTAAACACAGGAGTTGCTGCCTCGATCAGTTAGTTTGTGTTATTTTGTGACTTTGGTGGTTTTTTTTCTTAAACTACCATTTAAGGCGACAGCAGACCAGCAGCTCTTGTGGCAGTTTGTGAGAGGCCGTTTACACGTACACGGTGATTTTGATAAACGGAGACATCTTCCTTCGTTTGTGCCCTTCGTTTACACGCAAACGGAGATTTCTCCTCTGAAAACGAGTCTTTCTAAAAACTCCGGCCAGAGTGGAGATTTTGGAAAACTCCGGTTGCGCATTTGCATGTAAACTGAGATAAACGGAGATAAATGGAGTTATAGGCAGCCCACGTCACAGTATGCGCCGGAACTTGCGCCTGTGTCAAAAGTGCGACCTATGTTGCTATGGTGACAATGGATACATGGAAGGCTTGAGCTTCTTGTTAAACTGCCACCTACAGGTTTGGCATGCTCTTGTGTATATATATATATACACGGGTAAGTGTAAACGAAGATCTTTTTGAAAACGGAGACGGTGAAATGTCTGTTTATGAAAATAGCCGGCAACTTGTAAACGGCCTCTTAGAGGCCTCTCGATTGTTTTTTGCTCACACTAAAGGTGCAGCAAGATTATCTAATCACTTTCAGCTGTGTGACGAGGGTGTGTCCTATTCAGATTAGTGTGCCTCAGTATGACTGCTGATTTTGGAGAAGGACTGAGGGCCCAAATGTTATCTGCATAAAAGAGAAATGCACATGGAGCCAGAAACTTGTTTCCTTCTTTTAAAATTACTGTTTTTGTCAATGGAGTCTGGCTTTAAAGAGAGCACTGATACATTTCACTATCACTCAAGTTACCCATTGTTTGGAGGTCCTGAGCATACGACTAGATAAATGAGACTTGGATTATAGTCCACGAGTTGTGTCAGAGTTTATTAACAGATGTTTTTATATATATGTTTTGCGGTTGTTAAACATGGACCCCTATAACTTTAATTCATCAAGAATTTCCTCCTTTTTTGGATTCTTTGTTCATAGCGACAAAGTTTTCTTCACGTATTCAACGTAACACAGGGTGAGTACTTGATACACAAATAAACATTTGGGGAAGTGAAGTATTCCTTTAAAGCTTCTGATTGATCAGACAGATACACTGGTTTAATAATACTGGCCATAAGATATCTGCCAGTTCTTTCATCCACTACTAATACGATGGAAGCTCCTCTCAGGCACATAGTCTGTAAAACCTGCTATTAATTTTGCTCTTGGCTCACGTCATTCATCTTAGTAATGTTTTTGTAAATTTTTAAAGACATAGACACTTTTTATAGCCTCCCCAAAAAACTGCAAAATGTCAGAATTCTCCCAAACAGGTTCTGCAGTATAATCACAGTACTTTGCAGCCAATTGGTCTCACTGTCTCCTAAAGTCATTCCTCACTGACAATGTTTTCTTGTAAACTGTACACGGGGGTTGTCACGATACAGAATTTAAACTTCGATACAATTCTATTATAAATAAGATGCTCAATAGTATGGCAAAAAATACATTAATTAAATATACACAGTGCTGGTACAGAAAAAATAACTTAACACGTGACATGTTCGCGTAGTTGCTGGAGAAAATGCCATGACAGCCACAGGTAGAGGACCAGATGCTTTTCTTTCCTGTTGTTTCATTTGTGCAGCCTTTCGTTGAAAATCTGATTGTAGATCTGTTTTAATTTTATAGCTCTGATGCTTTTGTTACTATCAAATATAATAATCAACAAATGGTATTGTTTCAAACATGTTGTATTGAAATAGTCTCTACGTATCGATACCTTCAACAACCTTATCGTGCATCCTACAATAGCAGGCAACAGCACTGAAGGGTGCAGCGCGACCCACGGAGAAATGTCAGTGAAGGAAACATGGGTGACAACTTAATTTAAGGGTGAATCATTCCTTTTGGAGGCTGCAAAGAACTACAAACCTTTTAAAAAAACGTAGTGTGGGTTTCGGTGGAGTTTTTCATGGTGTGAATGCCGTTTAAAGGATTTAATATCTAAACAGAACACTATTCTGGGCTGAGGAACAGCCCAATATAAAGATATTGAATATGAACTCATGATATTGGCTCTGAGGAGAACCCTCCTGTAACCATGAGTATGAATGTGTATGTGTACACTCCCCCCTCTGCATGCTGCTCTGTGACTTGTTCAGTGATTATAGCTATTGTGAGAATGTGATATTCCTCTTTGTTTATGGGCGACAGTGCCTCTGAAGTACAATCACATTGGCCAGATAATGACCAAAACCAAGCAAATACTCTTTAACTTGATATTGTGCTCAGGATTTTCAAATAAATATTGAATGATTAAAAAATATTGATGAGTTATTTGAGACAAAATGTGGCTTCTCATGGCTTATGATTAATAAAAGGAACCTATGACTCAAGTTGTGCTGTGCAGTGTGCCTGAAAAGTATCGGTGACAATCAAATGAGTTTGTGAAAGAGACATCAGAGCTCAGAAGTTATTTATAAAAAAATATTTTACTTGAAAACTCATGAAATCAACATTCACAGACCAGACAACTGCAATCATGAAGGCATAACCAGAACTTTGAGTAGTGCATGGAGAGTGTCACTTTAGCTTTAAGAGGCATTTCTGTGAGATACCCAAACTGAATTACAGCTTTGCTTCCATGTTGCTAGGAAACTAACTTTCCCGTCCTCTCAGTTCTATTTTCAGCAGCGATATCTTTAGTACCCTATTGACCGCTTCCCAGTATTCTGGATAAATTACAATTCTTACTTCCTATGCTCACCTCCTAAACACCCAAAGGAGACAAACTAAAATGATTCAAGATGTGAGAACATTCTTCAGTTGGTTTGTGATCAGCTGATTTGAACACAGTCTCTGTCAGTTTGAGGCTTCATTTGGCACGTTGAGCCGACGAGCTCAGACTCCCTCACTGGCTCTGTTGGTTTGGTTAATCTCTTCTCCGGAGCCGCTCTTCAGGCTGAGGGAAAACATGCCTCGGTACATGGCCCGCTCTTTCTGCAAGTCCTGACTGAGTTTCTCCTCAGCTCGCTGCAGGTGCTTCCTCACGTTGGCATCTGAGACAGAAAAATGAGGAAGTTTAATTTTGGAAAGTCATACTTTCCTTTATCCCACAGGTGTTCAAATATGGAGAGGGCTAGGAGAGAAGCTGCTGAATTATCCTAGAGACATTACACGTATGGATTTATCCAGCAACTCTGTGAAAGAGCCAAATGTCCTTGAGTGAAAATCAGCATAGTGCAAACAAAAAGTCACACTGTTGGTCTTTTAAAAATGAACAGAAAGTAATGAAGTAATGGGTAAATCAGTCAATGAAATAGAAACACAGATTGCAATCTGGTCTTTTTACAGAGCATCAAATATTTTATCTTAAAGACCTTAGACACAGGATGCATTTACAGTTGTGTCTTTGGGGCGCCCTCTGACTCAGCCTTAATGATGCCAATAAGACTGCCTTTCCTGCATGTTACTTACACTCTTTTTCCCACCAATATTAGCGGGTATATGCATGTTTTTAAACGTAGAAAACCCTCTTAAAACAGACGATAGACTCCTGTCCCACTGCCAGTACACAAGTATGCTATGTTTCTTTTTTTACTTGTGTGTCATGTTCAGAGCCATGAATGCACTGGAAACAGGTTGGTAAACAGTAGAAAGCAGCATGGAGGCCAGTGAAGATGTTAACAGTGGTTATTTCCTCTCTTTCTCACTCATTCATGTTTGAGCATTGCTTGGACTGAAATGGATGGAATTTGTGGCAACAAATCATTGCATCATGGAAAAAGACTGAAAATTTGCGCCTCCACCTTGGTGTCGTATTTCCTTTGCTGCCAATCAGAGCTACAGCTGATAAATACCTGTTACTACTGCAGTAATCTGCCTAGGAGTGAATGCTGACTGTAATCTTTCCCATTACACACGACAGCCAGGTGTTAGTGGGTTTTCTGGCCAGTGAGAAAGGAACTCTGTCAACGACCAACAGCTGTGCTCTCTCCAGCACCAAACAGGAAGCAGCAAACCTTGAGGCAAATCAGGGGAGGAGCAACAACATGAACAGGTCTTGGTTCTCTTGTACTGTGAAAAAGGAGGACAAACTTGTGGAGTGAGCAAGAGTTGGTGATTAATTTGGTGTTTATCTAATTCACCAACCAGCACTTATTTTACTTAGATATGCCGCACCTACCCTGGGTGCAAGTTGAGGTATCAAAGTCCAAAATGCAAAGTTTCTACAGAAATACAGTTTAAGTTTATGGATTATATTGATGCCAAATTAACAAGAATACTGTTGACACATGTCACCTTTGACACTGTTTTCCATAGCTGTATGTTCTTGCAGACACACAGAGAATTGTTAATATGTCATATTTCTAAAAGGGAGTTTGGTGTGATATTTTCCACCACGAGCAGGGTGGGAAATAATCTCAAAAGGAAACTAGGTGTAGTCTCGCAAGTAGTGACTCTGCAAGATCCCAAGTCTCTCCAAAACCTTATAGTGTGTGACTAAAAACTCACAATGTCTTAAGATGTGAGAGGGTGTCAGACTTAAGTCTTTCAAAAGTCTTCTAGTGTACAGTAAGCATTGTACAAAGAAAGGGAAGTTTCACAAATAAGAACCAACAGGAACGAAGTACACATTTGATTTCAATATCCATCTAAAATGATCTATGAAAGCACAGCATAACAGATGATAGACTAAGCTTTCTGTGGATGACCCCTGTGTGCTTCTCTTACCATTGGGCTGCTCTCTGCAGGCCTCAGCAAGGTACTGTTTGGCAGTCTCTGCATCTCCCATCTCCAGAGTAGCTACTCCTGCCCTGTACAGTGCTTTGACATCACCTGGTCGCCACTGCAGCACCCGCAGGCTGTAGTCCCGCACACGAGAATAGTCAACACTCTGTCTCTGCAGCAAACAGGCTGAAAGAGATATATTTGTGCATATATATGACTGTACGTACTTTACCCAGCTGTCAGTTACCCTCATAAACCAATAAATGAAAAAGCTCTCTCTTGAGGAAAGTCACCTCTTTGGAGCGTCACTGAATTGTAGAAGTAGTGGTTGGTTGGGCATTTTCTTATTGAAATGATTAAACTAGCATGAAACTACTTTACTGATACTCAAAATAGTTTAGGTAGTAGATTCAACAGATATATTAATCTTGCATGACTTTGCATATTTGTGATTTTTTTATCTACCAGCTAAGTTGTTGTAGCAGTCCACTTGTGTGTTTCTCAGTACAGCCTCCTGTTCAGGTGTGAGAGCAGGTCTCTCAGGTCCAAACCCTTTCACTGGCTTCATCACATCAGAGTCGAGGCCTCTGAGGACCAGCAGAGCTCGGTGGTATCGCCCGATGGCTGAGCGAATGTTCTTCACTCTGTAGAAGGCATTTCCTTCTGTTTTCAGCTGGGCTGCTTCCTCCAGTAAAGTCCACACCGGCTTTGCAGGAGTCCATCGGCATCCAGAAAAGCTCGGCTGTGGTGCTGCCGCTGCCCCCTGCACGTCCATACTGTCATCTCCTCCTCCAGCCTCCATGTCTGCAGTGGTGCTAGTTAGCTGTTGAAATTAATAAGTACACAAAAATACAAGGTTTAAGTGACCTTGTTAAATGTACACTGGGCCTGTCACGATAATTACGTTATCGACTCACTGATGTCAGCAAAAATGATCAAGGCCATGTCCATATATCGTACAGCACTGCAAATTGTGTTACATAAGAATGTCACCAAAATTTAAAATCACTCCAGAAACATCACTTGTGTAATGTCAGTGGGCTCAGGACTCTGAATCTTACTCAGAAAGATAGTGTTAAAAAATGGAGACTAATATATGTCTTGATGTGATTCTTGATTCTGATCTAAGCTTCAAGTCCCACATTAACAAGGTGACGAAAACATCATTTTTCCACTTCAGAATCATAGTTAAGGTACGACCATTTCTAAATGAAGAAGATGCCGTGAAATTGATTCATGCCTTTATTTCAAGCCGACTCGACTTCTGTAACGCACTTTTTACTGGCCTCCTAAAAAACACCACAGAGAGACCTCAGCTCGTTCAAAACTCTGCAGCTCAGCTATTAACCAGAACCAAGAGGAGAGAGCACACCAGGCCAGTCTGAGCTGCTCTGCACTGGTTTCCTGTTACATTTAGAATTGATTTTAAGCTCCTCTACCTTGTATACAAAGTCCTACATGGGCTGGGACAGAGCTATTGCTAACTCCCTTGTTCACTATTTGCCTCCAAAAACTCTGCGATCATCTGCTGCTGGTTTATTGGAGGTTCCCAGCAACAGCCGGAAGAAGATCAGGGATGCAGCCTTTGTCGATTACACCCCCAAAGATATGGAACACACTACCTATAGATATTTGGGCGGCCAGCTTGCTAAATGTTTTTAAAAGAAATCTAAAAACTTATCTGTTCACTTTGGCATTTAACTAGCTCTGAACTTCCCGATACAGGTCTGAAACTCTTTCCTTTTACGCTTCACGCTGCTGCAACTTTAAAAACATACTTTATTTTATGATTTATAGTTTTACAATTCTAGGATTTTATGTACCAGTTCTGTTTGATGTTCATTCTATTTTCAGTGCTTATAATGCCCTCATTGCCCTCTTGTATGAAAGGTACTATATAAATAAAGATTATTATTATTACTATTAAATAAGTGATTGAACCAGTCAACATCGTAAAAAAATCTTTAAGATCTATCCAGAATAATTGTATACATAGGCATTCATAAAATAAATGGCAAATAGTTTCAATTCATAACTACGAAACACATATTTCCTATCGATATCATCTCTAAATCTGATTTTCAGGATAAATCAGATGTATAATTTTAGATGAGACCTCTCTGATTTTGTTGGTGACACAATATTTCTTGTCAAAGGTCCAGACTGACTTCCATTTAATATTTACAAGTCTAGAGTACCAAAATATCTTGGCAGGGGGAATCGTGGACATCTGGCAAAGTCTCCTAAGATGACTACTGGTACATTTTTTTTTGTCTGTGATGCATCCACCATCTTACATAAACATGTATGTGGAGAAAATTTGTGTTTATAATTAATCAACCAGTATAATAATACTTGTTTATGGTAGATAGTTTTACAGGTATCCTATTAATATCAAAATTGCAATGTAAGAGGAATTCAGTACCACCAACTGCAGACGGTGAAAAGTTATCTTCCGTCGCCATGTTGGAGTCCAGAGCAGAGTCAGGCTGTGACAGTACGCAGAACTCATTTGTAACGTTTATTTAACGGACTTTAACGACCGTTACTTAGCGTTAAAGCAGAGGTTTAACGGTTTGTAGCTAACGTTACAGCTAACCGAGCTAGCAAAGTTACCATGCTAACTTCACCTGCTCACACAGTAGCTAAGGCTCATACTGTTTAATTTAGTATGTCTACACATTTTAACGGTGTTGTATGTTACAGTGTGATGGATGAAATGCTCACCTGATCCATCAGTGGAAGATAATCACAGGGCAGCTACTTCTTCTCATGGTTGACAGCCATTCTGCTGCTGCTGCTGCTGTACTACAGTGCTGTACGGACACCTCCTTGTTTTCTTTAGAAGAGGTCAAAACTTCAACTTCATGCAGCGCTACTGCCACCACAAGGCCGAACCAGGAATTACACCAACACAACACAGCGGCAGTTTGGTGAGCAGAGGATGATGAACTGATCTCCAAAAGACATGAAGTTAAAGGGGAAACAGTCTTTTTTTTAACATTTAATGCAAGATTAATGTTTTTATTTAAAAAAAAAAATATATATTCTAGAGTGGAAAAAATAAAAGGGCACCATGCAAAAGTTTGGCACCCCAAGACATTTGAGCTCTCAGACAACTTTTACCAGTCTCAGACCTTAATAAATGGTAAATAAACTGCTCTTATATAGCGTCTGTCTAGTCTTTTGACCACTCAAAGGACTCACTGTATCACATTAACCCATTCACACACTGGGTGCCATCTGCTATTCAGTAAGCTTTTCACAAGTTCTCACACACTAATGGAGATGCAATTTTGGGGTTCCCATGTCTTGCCCAAGGATACTTCTACATGCGGACTGGGGGAGCCGGGGATCAAACCACTGAGCCCCGCTCTACCTCTGAGCCACAGCCACTTATTAGGGCTATGGCTTGTTCATGATCAACATTAGAAAAGACCAGATGATGCAAATGGCAAAGCTTTATAAATACTCTGACTCCTGAAACCTTGTCCCAACAATCAGCAGCCCTGGACTCACCTAAACAGATGAACAGCACTCTGAAAACTAAGATAACTGATGCACAATGCAGGAGAAGGTTATAAGAAGATAGCAAAGCTTTAGCTGTTTCCTTAGTCTGTAATAGTGGCAGTTAACAGGGACTGTAGAGATCAAGTTGAGGTCTGCAAAAGACCTGCAGAAAGATTTATCAGACTGTGGAGTGGTGGTGCACTGTTCTATTGTGCAGCAACACCTGTACAAATATGACTTTCATGGAAGACTCATCAGAAGAAAAAACCTTTCCTGTGTCCTCATCATAACATTCAGAGTCAGATGTTTTCAAAGGAACATCCAAACAAGCCTGATGCTTTTCTGAAACAAGTCATGTGGACTGATGGAGTTAAAATATAACTCTCTGGCTGCAATAAGCAAAGGTGTGTTTGGAGAAAAAAAAAATCCCCCCAGGAGAATTTTTTTTTTTTTAGAATTGGACCACACAGAGCACAGTTTGTCTGTTTTATGACTAATTTTTATGACACTTTATAAAAACTATAACAACCAACAATGATATAACATACATAACACTCATATTACATTTAAGTTCTGCACTTTTTAATACATTTGGAGAGAAAGTACAGTGCTTGACATTTTGACCTACCCACAGCGGTTGAGCAACAGCTTCTGGTGGGGTATGGCAGCACCACCTGCACAAACAGAACCGCAGTGCACCGTATTAGTATAATCAGTGGTAATTATGGCATTTGTAAGATTTATTTATGATTATAATTGCATATGCTGGTTATTATTTGGCAGAGAATGGCAGAGGTGTTTTCTTTCGTGTGTGTGTGTGTGTGTGTGTGTGTGTGTGTGTGTGTGACCCCTCTAATAAATATTAGAATTACTGCAGTAACATGTGAAGACGTGCACAATGTATGCCATTAAAATAAATGGTATGCTGGAGGGCAAATACCTGTGCATCCATCCACCTATATGCAGGCCCAGTGTATAGATGTCCCAACATACCGTATGAAGGGAAGGTGTGGGTTCATAGATTTATCCAGCAATTCCTTTCATCCCTAATTTGACTGTACATTTATAGACAGTTTCACATTTTCATTTATTCACCTCCAAGCTTATTTGGGCTTTTATTTATAGTTCAACATAAAAATTGATCAGTACCAGAAACAAAGTCAATGGACTCCGTTTATTCAACCCACATCAGGCAGAATAAAAGAAATTAGATTGAAGCACAGTGGTCTTAGAAAGTAAAAGTTGCAATACTGCACCTTAAGAAATACTCTGTTACAAGTAAAATAAAAAAAGTAATTGCAGAAAAAGTACAAAAGTATTACCATCAAAATATCCCTCAAATACCAAAAGGAAAAGTTGTCATGCAGAGTGACCCATTTTAGAGGAATGTATTTCTATTATAATTACTGATGCATTAATGTGTTTATCACTTTAATGTTGCAGCTGGTAACTGCTGGGATGCTTGTGAATTTCCCCTTGGGATCAATAAATTCTCATCTTAATTGTTAATGATACATAATAATGCACCTCAAACTACCTAAGTAAACATAATTAGGGTGCTTTCAGACATTGAGTTGTCTTGCTTTGGTCTGAATCAGTGACTCATTTTCTTACAAAGTTGCATAATTGCCTAGAGTTGGTTCGTGTTCTCACGGCAGCATTTACGAGCTGACCAGATCAAATGCCTTGTGCGAGAAAGCTGCTCTTGATTTTTCAGAATTTCCATGCGGGAAAAATCCAGGAAGCAAACAAAACGTTGAAGAAGAGTACACTTGCAAGATAAATGTGACACTTTCTAATGTCACAATGGAGGGACAACTATGCAGGTTGATTTTAGCGCTGCTCATTGTGGACTATATTGCTGTCATTGTTCATTTTAGTCAAACCATACAGTTTGAAAACGAGGCGCGGCTCCAACTAGAAAACAATATTTTGATGCATTGGATGTGCTGAATGTGCATATTAAGGCAGTACAGGAGGAGGTGCACATTAATAATCCTCCAGGACTGTAACATGCTCATGTTTAACCCAAACAATGTGTCATGTGACTGCAGTTGGTTCAGATCGAGGTCAGAACACATTCTGACCGCAAACAAACTGTGCAAAAGTTCGTTTGTAAACCGGTCTCGGTCCGGTTGTTTTGTTGTGCACCCAAGTGCGATTGCTGTGTTCACACCTGCCCAAATGAACCACACTTAGGGAGCAAATGAACTTGAGTTCAATTGAAACGAACCAAACAGGGCAGGTGTGAAAACACCACTGCCAAAGCAGTTATTATAAATTCACTAACACATCCACTTTTTAAAAGTGATGAACACTTAAGATTAAGTATTTGGTATAAAAATAGAGATATGATAATAAAGCACCATACAAAACATGTTAGCATCCCATTAAATCGTGTCTTTCAAGCCTGCTGATTTGTGTTCAACATTAATTCAGACTCATTCTGAACCTCAGGTTTATCCTCCTCGTCTGCTCTGGTGATGTCATTGCTCATTAGCGTTAGGTTCTGTGGTGGTTTGTGGGTTTTCACTTTAAATACGTCCCATCTCTCAGGAATCAGTCCTTTGTTGAAGAGCTGTGAAGCCAGGTAGGAGAACAACAAAGTGGCAAACATGTTGGACAACATGCAGATAGTCTGAACCGGGGCGCGCTGGACATATACGCCATCCTCGACAGTGCAACCTGGGAAGTGGAGAACAATAGGCAACCCTATTGATGGCTCACCGCTCAGCACTCTCAACAACACGGCATCAAGCAAGCCCATGATGGAGCCATAGCCATTGGAGATGTCAAAGTAGAGGACACAGATGAGTTGAGGGAACATGATGGTGTAAGTTATGCCTGAGCCCAGGATCCAGAAAGTCATAATGCTGTTGTGTAGGATGGTGAGCGCTGTGCCAGCTACGCCCACTACCACCACAGTGACACGGATTACCCACTGGAGCTCCCTATCTGAAGCCTGCAGTGGGAAAAAAAAAGTCTGTAAGCTTAAACATCAAAGGAAGGTCAAGACAAGTCTACTCTTCCTCTTGGGTCCCCTCTTACCTTGGTCCTTAGCATGTTCTTGTAGATGTTGGAAGTGAAGATGGAGGCGGCTGACAACAGTGCAGAGTCTGTTGATGACATCACGGCAGCAGCGATAGCTCCGATACCGATGATGGAGATGTATTGTGGGGTGAGGTACTGCAGAGCAATGGGCAGAACTTGACCAGCCTCTCCACGCTCATAAGGGGACAGGGAGCCGTACCCGGTCATGTTCCAGTCTGTCACCAAAAATGTGACATGAATTGGCCAGAGTTGGGTATAACGCGTTACAAAGTACAAAGTAACGCGTTAGAGTACTTTGATTACTTTTTGCAGTAACAAGTAACCAAACGCGTTAGTTTGCTGTTTGAGTAATCAAATACTTAAGTACATTTTCAAACAAGACATCAGTTACTTCTGTTACTTTTAGAACGCTGGTCCTTCAGCTCCGAAACAGCAACGGCTGTCGTTTGGTTCTAATAACGGAGATAACGTTAAACCTATCAGTCTGAAAAAAGCCACGGAGCTTGTGGCTCGCTACATGGTCGGAGAAATGCTGGCGTTGTCTATGGTGGAGTCTAAATAGGTTTAGTAGGACTCGCTGACAGACATATTTCAGACTCAGGACTTGCATTATGCCTGGTACACGCTACACACTGGTACTCACCAATTATCCCCGGTCGTCTTTCACGGCGTGTGTGATGTCATCAGGTTATTCTTGTCCTGTTTTTATTACTTTTACTATTATTTGAGTCACTGTGTGTGTTCATGTGCCAGCCGACATGTTGTTGTAGTCACCTAAAAGCGTCAGCAGATGGCAGGAGCTACATTTGAAGCGCCATAAGTAAACTCTCAAGCTACTTTATCTTCCACAGGAAGTTCTGACAAATGTTTCAGAATAAAAGCCTATTTAGAAAATGGAGGGATTCTCTCAGCGGAGGTTATAAGGGGCTTTTAATTTGAAACAAGTGTTGAGTTTGAAATGACGGTGCGATATGTTAACTTTACAAAGACAACGGAGCGGATAAAAAGTAAATATATAAACACACAGAGGGATTAATAAATAACGGACCGTCTATAATGTAGTCTGTTTCACATGAAGCTGATGCTAATGACAGTAACGTTAACTCAGCGGGTTGACAAAGTGCCTCTGCTGTTCCACACCATCATTTCCCCCTTTTACTCTGTGTGGTAACATCCCTAGAGGAAATATTAAAAACGCTGGGGTGTTGTTGTCATACAGTTGTCTATGGCAGCAGATCGTTCTGTGTTTCTACTGGTCAAAGTGACGGCTGTGATGGGAGAACTGGATCTCAGTGAAGGGCAAGTGGTCTATAACTTTAATTTTGGAGACAAAAAAATGTAGGCTTAGTGCCCTGTGGTCCATTGCCCAATAGGAAATGTAGAATACTCAAAAGTACTTTAAAAGTGCTTGAGTTACTTTTCTCAGGGAGTAACGTTGGAAGTACTTTTAAAGTAACTGAGTTGCTTTTCTCAGGGTGTAACGCAGTAAAGTAACTGGTTACTTTTTAAAAAGTAACGCAATAACGTACTTTGATTACTTTTAAAGTAACCCTTACCCAACACTGGAATTGGCATAGTCTCTCTGTGGTTTTCTGTTTAATTCTACTGGTGTACCTGTTGATGCTGCAGCTGCTCCAATCAGTGTAGATGGGATTCCGAGTATGAACACGATGGGAGCTGCAATAAAACAGGTGATCCTGGCAGTGGCTGACGAAGCAGCTGACAGGGTCCTTTGGTGGAAGTCCTGATATCCAAGGTTACCCAGAGACTTAGAAAAAATAAATAAAAGCAACTGTTACACTCTGTACATTCTGGACAACAATGGAAATAAGTCCTGTGTGCAGCATCCTGACCTTAAGCAGATGTGTATCTTTCACAATGTATCATCAAGTGAAGTTAAGCAGGTTAGGTTTAGGGAAGTAAAGTGACGTAGGTTAGGTTTGGGCAAATAAAGTTATGTAGGTTAGGTTTGGGCAAGTAAAGTTATGTGCATTAGGTTTTGGGAAGTGAAGTTACGTAGGTTTGGTTTAGGCAAGTAAAGTTATGTGGGTTAGGTTTTGGGAAGTAAAGTTACGTAGGTTTGGTTTTGGGAAGTAAAGTTACGTAGGTTTGGTTTAGGCAAATAAAGTTGTGCAGGTTAGGTTTTGCGAAGTAAAGTTACATAAGTTAGGTGTGGGCAAGTAAAGTTATGTAGGTTAGGTTTTGGGAAGTAAAGTAATATAGGCTAGGATTAGGCAAGTAAGGTTACGTAGGTTAGGTTTAAGGAAGTAAAGTTCCGTAAATTAGGTTTAGGCATAGGAAGGTATGTAGGTTAGGTTTAGGCAAATGTAGGTTTACACAGGTGCATTGTATTCTCTATTCTAGGTCACCTTTATGCATTTCAAATGTAAAAATTAAAAAAAAAAAAAAAAATTCAGGCACACATGCTTTTTTGATAGGTATGGTCACATCACACTTTTGTCCTAAAAAATTTGGCTCAGTTTCCCATTCATTTCTATTGAAGCCCTTATGGCACGCTAGGGATGTGCTCTGTCAGCCAATAGAAATGCTGATGCACATGTTTGAAACAAAACGTAGTCCTTACCAGTATTAAGAAATTATCAATCCACCTCCATGCTCTTTCCTCATCCACTGAACCAATCCAGGGGGCCTGGTAGGTGAAGTTGAAGGCAGTCTTGGTGATGTCGGTTAAATGGGGGTTCACAAGGACGAAGGGGACGCATAACCACTGCAGAAAAGACAAAGAACCACTGACTTTAACATTTCAAACATGTATGTTCATTTGAGGAAGTAAGGTTGTGTGTCACTATCCATACCAGAATGGATAGTCCATTGACTATCCATTCTGGTATGTTCTGTTTGTTTATAAAACACTGAATGGTTTAGGGCTAAAATACATGCCCGAACTTCTGCTGCATAGAGTGGTGCAGGAATAAGTCCTAAAACCTGGAAATGAGTTAGCATTTTAGCACTCCTGGTTCCCTCATTTTGAAGTCAATGGGGTTTTTTTTTAAGTCTGTGGTTAAGATATTGTCATGTTTTTCTTCTATGACATAAAATATATTAGTAAATATCCCACTCATGAATTTTTTAAGCTTTTGCGTGTTTTAAAAAAGGCAGCTGCTAACAAGTGGCTGAACAGAGTGTTACCACCCTAAATAAAGTCATACAGTTATGTACTTGTTGTGGTGCTGAGATTGAAGTCATGTGACTGTGGTGTACTTCATTTATAAAGTTAACGTTTTACTTCTTACGACTGCATTTATGCTTCAATAATCATAAAACTGGTGTTCTTTTGTAAAGATCATCTTGCTGAACAAATGTGTTTGTATCATAACCTTTTGTTTGCCACAGATTTTACTTTCTGCAATCGTCTGTCCCCAGAGTCAAAACTAAACATGGGGTAACAGCGCACAGTTTTTATGGAGACGAGATCTGAAACAAAAGCAAATAATTATTTGTTTCTCACACTGCACTGTAGTGTTTTAGTCATTTTTTTTCCTTGATAATTTAATACAATTTGGCAAAATATAAAATAGCCACAGTTGTTAAGCTACAAAATATCATGCTGTTCTGCACTGAGTAAGTAAAATTTGGTGTTTTATATATATGTGACTTCAAGGTATTCATTAACCCACCACCCTATTAACCTATTCTCTCTTTAAAGGAATACTTCACCCAAAGAACGACCATCTATACATCAACCACTCCCCCATGTTCGGTTGAATTCCCCAAGAAAGTTTTTCTCGTACGCCAAAGAATCCAGAGAATTGAGAAAATTCTTGACAAACTGAGGCTTTCTACTTCTTGCGATTGCATTTGCACTTAAAAAATCAAAAGTGATGTTCAAAGGGCCTTTTGTTGACTCAATCAGTCAGTCATTTCTTACACTGCACTGTAGTGTTTTATTGCTGTATTTTACACCTGTCTTGTTCTATTTCAGCTCATTTTTATTGTGTATTCTCTTGGCGCTTTAATGCTTCCGTGCTTTTAAATTGTATTTAAATGCCCTTTGTATCTGGAGCACTTTGAATTGCCCTGTTGCTCTCATTTATTATAAACCTGCCTTGTCTTGAAGGTGTGATGAGCAGATGTTTATGGGATTGTCTGGATACCTTGGTGAGGCACCACAGAGAAATTCAATAAAATATAAGAACAAAGGTTACGATACTGTAACCCTCAGGCTCCACCCTCTACTGGACTCCATGGTGATGTTTTCCTCTAATCAAAAGCACTCATACGCTCCCTGATTCGTGCGCTTCATTGGAGGAAAAGTTTTCTTGAATCGTGTGCAGTTAGGGTAAACAAACTTCACGATGCTTTAGCTGAATGTCGGAAGAAATTATCTTTAATGTGAGGAAGGAACACACCAAACTGAAGAATATGAGGGTTAGCTGTATGATGTCTGTGTAGGCGACCGAGTAGAGGCCTCCCAGAAGTGTGTAGATGATGGCTACTGCGGCAGAGATCCAAATGCAAACCGTATAGGGCAAATCCAGGATTACACTCATTGTTGCACCTATAAAAGATAACACAACCACATACATGCAGACTTACATACACATTTTATACATTTCTAAATAATTGCTCATTCTGTTTAACCTCATTTATTGATTGATTACTCGTATTATAGTACTTCATGTGAAATCTTTTTATCCTGTCATGAAACATGTTTCAGCATCTCTGCCCCAAACACAAGACGCTTGTTTCTTTCCCGTAAGTGCGTAACACCAGGCGTGTCAGTTTACTGGTAGTGATTAAATGCAGGTTTGTTACATGTTTCAGATTAATGATAATTTTGATTTAATGGATCGTGAATGTTCGTCACGGTGCAATAAGCATAGAACGGTTCCACTGGTACCATCCACAACTTTTCACTGTGGAAACAGAAAAAAAGCGTACCGAACTGAACTGTACCGTACTGCTTGGTGGAAACAAGGCTTTAGAGAAAACCGACATCAGTGTGGCTTACCTAATCCAATCAGAGTTCCCGTAACCCAGATGATGTCAGAGATCAGCAGTGCCACAGACAGAACTCCACTTATACCATTTCCATACTTGGTCTGGAACGGGTCCATCATTGTCATATATCTTTTGTCTCTCATCTTCTTGGCGAAGAAAAGTCCACCTAAAGAATTTAATCACGAACAATGACTCAGCATTATGTAGTGTATTTCACCAGCCATACAGATCTGTTTAACATCGAAACCTAAATATCTACAAGGTCATCTTATAGTATCTTAATCTTTAGACACCTGGAGCCTCTTCACAGCCCCAGGGTCTCCACTAGGGTTTGGTGTTGGTGTTGTTGGTGTATGTGTTCTTTTGTTTCAGAGTGCCGGTGGCTTGATTGGTCGTGGAGATTGGAGGCAGCTGGCCACTGTCTTCAGCCCTTTAAAACCCGCCCTCCTGGGAACTTGGTGTCTCTTTTTTTTCCCCTGGCATCATTGACTTCATTCCTTAGTTTTTGTATAGTTTAGTTTTGCATTATCTTGGTTATATTGTTTATTCTTGAATTTTTGTTAAAATAAATTACTTATTTTTATGGAACTCCCTATGTGTTTCCTTATTTGTGATGGTCTTAGAGCCAGACCATAACAGCATGCAGACCGTGAAGGTTTCTGTTAAAAACACCAAACCATGACCATGGATAAATCATACGTTTATACAACTACTATTATTATATATGATGACATGCATATACTTTCTTATTCAATAAGTCTTCACAGCAGCTATGTTTACATGTACACTAATATTCAACTATTATTCTGAGTATGACAGTAATAGGGATATGTGCAAACATTGCAATGCCAACCATTTCAGGAATGTAGGTGCAAGCCTGTGTTCGCACGGTCGAACAACTCTGCCACCAATGGAAAACTTTTTAAAAACCATAACACAAGTACCAGCCATTCCACTTTACTGCATCTTTATATGATAAAGGACAAATTACTGCACGTTAAACAATATGCACGGCTGCATGTAAACAGGAATATATCGGGGGGGGGGGCTGGATTCGAACCCGGGCTGCTGCGGCAACAGCCTTGTACATGGGGCGCCTGCTTTACCCATGAAGTCACCGACGCCCCAAAAGCCAGGATCTTTTGTGCATGTAAACAACATGAGACTACGGAGCGTCATCACACCTTACTGTGCTTAACTCAGCTTGCTGTGGTGGCAAACTTGAAGTCATGTAACCGTGCTGTCATTCGTTTAGATAGATAGATAGATAGATAGATAGGATCACTTTACCAAGAGCTCAGCCGCAGCATAAACATGCGTTTATAGCCTAATGTTGGCTTTTTTTCCTGGTGATTTCATTTAGGCCTCAAAAATCGTATTAGTGGTGTTCATTTGTGAGGATTATCTCGCTCAACAAAATGTGCAAGTATCCTAAATGTTTGTTTGCCTCAGAGTGTATTTTCTGTAGTAATCCAAAATCCAATGCAAAAATCCCACAGGGTTTTTGTTGAGGGAACCAGGGTGACACTAACTTCCATGCTGGCCTATAATAAACATCATCCCTGCAGCTGTCTACTGTAGCCTCAAGCAGAGATGAGGAGTGGGCTACGGACGCCCTGTTTCTTTTTAACTTTATGCCCCCAGGTTTCTTTTTCATTGCCAAATTTGTAGTCTTCTGTCTTGTTTGAATTTATCAGACTTTACACAGGAGCCACAAAAGGATTAACTTTCCTTATATCATATACAGTAATATGTAAATTCATGTGTCAGTTGTTGAAGTTCCTCTTTAACATATATTCAAATGGTGCACATAGCCTCAGGTAGATGTCTTACAACAGACCTGTCCGACCATCACCTGTCAAATACTAACAGGATCATTAACTGTTTCAGTGAACCAAATTAATCATAAAGATTAACAACAACAAAAGGACATAACTATAAAAATAACAATGGAGAAAAATGCATATGTAATTTTACTGTCATGGATATAATATGTCAGGATCTATAATCTTTAACTTAAAAGTTAATACTACATGCATTGAAGTAACAACAGAAGAGCCTGTATCTGATAAGCTCAGCAAATGGTGTTTTATTTTTATCTCCATGGTAATTGATGTATATGCAAGAGGGGCAAAGTTCAGCACGCACTGTAATAACAAAGTCTTAATTGCATGCATACTGCCTGCAGCAGTACATACTTTGAAAGGGCAGCTGCAGTACCTACTGACAGTAAAAAGAAGCAAGTGATTCAGAGCATAGCTTTAATCTCTGCTACAAACTCTGACTGAGAAAAGTTCAATATTTCAGATTTTTACATATTTGTTCAACTGTGACATCATACTGAAGGACAGTGTGATGTCACAAATGCCCCTCACTGTGTCTCAAGTTGGAAAAAATAATTATATTTAATATCAATTTGAGCAAACAAACTAAACACATGTCGCTTATTATGATGGAAATACTGTCTTACCAATGATGAAAGACGACGCTGCTGTCACAGGTATGACAGCCCATGTCAGTCCCATGGTTGGAGTGTACACTGCCTCTGTCATACCGACGATGTAGCCTCCTCCAACAAATGTAGCTGTAGGAAGCACGCACAAACATAAACACAAACACACCTACTGTATAGATGAATATTGCTACAATAATCACACTGTAACCCTCTGTTGTTTAAGCTAAACTAACCTCTGAGAAATATAACGTCCAAAAAATAAGTTGTAGCATACAAAAAAATGTGTCCTTTAACCAGTTAATCTTTTTATACAGTTTGTATTAGTCCACTTATTCATAACTTCAGAAGTAAACTAGTTAATTACTCATCATCCAACAGTAAGGGACTGTTTGTTATTTATTGGACGAGGGGGCATGTCAAATACTTTTTGATTAATTAATTTAATTAATTTTTTTATCAAGTATTGGGGACGCACTTTTTATTTTGGCTAATCATTTGATTTTCAAATTTCCGACAGTCTTTGGACACACCATCAGAGAACGATTGTAACCCAATCTGAGCTTGAAATAGTAATATTTCAATTAAAAAAAAACAAAAACAAAACTATATTGTATGTCTCATTTAAAATTTAAATTTGGCCAAATATAAAACAATTGCACAAACTTTTTTCAACTCCAGGATTTCATCCTCAACTTTTACTTTTTAACTTTCAAATGTCAACGGGTCCATTTTAAAAATTAAATAATTCATGGTAGAAGGTGGAGTCATTTCCGCCATTTTCTGCAAGTCACTCAAGTTGGACTGACTGGTGGAAGGAGGAACTGTTTTTTCATCTTCAAAGGGAGTGGTGGAAACATATTTGTATAGCTGTTTTAGTGTTTTTATTGTTTGTAATTGTTTGTTTTATGTCTTATGTTTGTATGTTTATGTTCAGCACTTTGTTTCGGCTGTTGTTGTTTTTAAAGTGCTCTAAACAACGTTGAGTTGAGTTGAGCTTTGAGACGGGTCAAAAACAAACCAAAAAAAAGTAAAGAACAATCCTTTATAATTAATAACTTATTGTACATTTGAAACACCACATAAAACTAAAGAATATGAAGTCTAATCTCTTACACTGGAGGGCTCTGCTTTTCAGATTTATATTTTATTTCAGCTTGAGATGCATGGTAATATCGGCACGTCATTGTTGACCGATATCGGCTTTAAAATGAACTATCAAAATTGGCCAACATGCTTTTTCTTAATTTGCACAATGAATTAACATTAAACATACTGGGAAAAAAGTTATATTTCATGTCTCCATCTGCTGGTGAGCCATCACGACAAGAGTGTGCATGCATGTGGTGTTAATTTCACTAGAAACTTATTTTTATTATTTTACTTATGGTACAAAAAAACTATATAGTGAGGGGGGAAATAATAATTATCAGAAACTAAAGACATAATGAACGCCATTGAACTGAGGGGGGAAATGTTGCAAAAACGGGTAAAACTTATCATTTTAGTAAAACACTTGAAAAGTTTTAGTCAAGATGTCTTTTCATCTTGGTGACTGTATGTATAGCCTTTAGTTGCTGAATGCAGTTACTGGTTTAACCAATAAATTAAGAGTCAGACCGGAGAAAACGCTGCTTGAAAACGGTGTAAGCTGCAACGTGACGATTGTACAACTATAATTATAACCGCGTTGTTGAGATATAACTTAAAAACGTCGTGAGTCATCATAGTTTTAATGATCCATAAAACTGAACTTTTACAAATGGCCAAAATTCACTGGTGCAACACGTCTGCAGCTTCATGCAGCACAGCGCTCAAGTATTTGTTTTCCTCTTTGCAGCCCTCCAACAGATTAAACTACACGGGACTGTGTGGAAATGGAAGTAATTTGTTTTAAAATGAATTCCCGAGCTGCTTTGTGTGTGTTTGTACATTTCATATTAACATTTCACATCAAAATGAACAAATCAGCATCCTGTTTTTACAGGGATCCAGTAAATTAATTCAGTACCAGTTGACCAGTCAATCAGTCAGTTAGTATAATATAGCCCATAGGTTTCCAAACCCTTCATAACCAGCTGCATTATCACTTTGCAAAACTGAATAAACAACACACAGTAAAGCTTGAGGCAACCACGCGCTCCAAGCAGGTCCGCGCGCAACGTGTCCTATATATTTCTGCTGTAACTTCAATCATGGCTTTGATGTAAAAAAAAAAAAAAAAAAAGTCCATAAAGATGTTACCCCGAAACTCTTCTACTTACTCTAATTTAAATGTGATTCCTTAGCCCCCCACGCCCACACTCACCTGTCATGGTGAAGACTCCCACCGCCAGGCTGATCCCTCTGTTGCCCAGCAGAGCCACCTCTGTCCGGTCCGCCTGGCTCCTCTTGTGCAGCCGCTTGGACTTCACAGACGCCCAGATGCCGATGCCCAGCACCAGCAGGTAGAAGAACACCATTACCACCAGACCTGGCACGTTGAGGGTCATCTTGCCTTGACTGACAGACACTGACTGACTGACTGATGCCTCCCACTGCCTTCCTCAAACTCACTGTTAGCGAGTTGAAACAAGCAGCACTGGATTCCAGTTGGAGGACCAGGATGGTGTGGCTCAATAAAACCAGCTGAGGAGGGGGGAAAAGCAAACCTATCAGGAGAAGTGGAGAAGGTCGATTTTTTTTTTTTTTACATAGCAGCCTACAGCTTTATAATTACCTCCTAATCAAAATGTAAGTTTATTTGAAGATCAACCACATTGTAGAAAGTACTTATAATTTACATTTTTGAAAAAAAAAATCATTTCATTTATTAATGACATTGTGATACAGCAGAGCAAACTTAAACCAGTCTGGCCATTCTCCTCTGACCTCTGGCATCAACGAGACATTTTCACCCAGAGAACTGCAGCTCACTGGATACTTTCTCTTTTTGGAACCATCCTCTGTAAACCCTAGAGATGGTTGTGTGTGAAAATCACAGCAGATCAGCAGTTCCCAACAGACCAGCCCATCTGGCACCAACAACCATAAGGAAGTGCAGTTGCAGTGAGGAGGTGTTCTTGGTCTGTAACAGTGTTTCGGTGGATAGTACGTGTCAAGTGTCATCCACAGGAATGCCAAGGGTGTGTGTGTGTGTGTGTGTGTGTGTGTGGACTGACTGTACCCTATGCTACATGTTATAGAGACAAATTGTGCAGATCCTGAATTCTCGTGTGACTGGTGTGTTCTTTGGCCTTTGAATGACCATTTTTCAGCTGCTACACTTGCAACTTTGTACTACGTCTTGTACTTGTACTAGTCTGACTGGTCTGGTCAGACTAGTTCCAGCCTAGTCTGACAAGCATGAACTGATGAAGCCTCTTGGATAAGAGGTGAAACATCTTCTAAGACAAAACTAAGTCCAGTTGCATTCGATTCAATTGCCTTGAGATAACTATGACCTGGATAAATGAGAATATCCACAGGAACATTTGTGACAGCTTACCATACTTAGGATTATCTGACCACTCTCACATTTGACTTTAAGATGGCAGCTGCCAAAAATGTGTTTATTCCCTTGGGTGAAAACTTTAATATTTTATCTGGCAACCAGCTCTCTCTTGCCCAGACTGGTGAGATTGGCAACAACAGCAAGGTCAACAAATGTTGGCCTTCTCACCATATTCCCCTGATAGTATGGGAATCCACTGAGCTGTGCTCCCACATGACATTCATCAGCTGTTAAAACACCACAAAGTGAAATCTGTTGGAAACAACACAGGCAGGAGCACAGATGCTTTGATCCAGTTCATTCTCCAGCCTCATGACCCCAGTATACCCAGTGATGGCAGATGTATTTAGACTTCTTGCTGAAGTAAAATTACCAATACCACACTGTTAAAATCCTTCATTACAAGAAAAAGTCCTGTATTCAAACCCTCACTTAAGTAAAAGCATGTACAGTCAGGTCCATAATTATTTGGACAATGATACAGTTGTTGTCATTTTGGCTCTGTACACCACCACAATGGGTTTTAAATGAAACAATGAATACCTGCTTAAAGTGCAGACTCTCAGCTTTCATTTAAGGCTTTTTTCAAAAATGTAGTATGAACCATGTAGGAATTACAATCATTTCTTCACACAGTCCCCCGACTTTAAGGGCTCATAAGTATTTGGACAAACTAACATAATCATCAATTAAACAGTCAGTTTTAATACTTGGTTGCAAATCCTTTACAGTAAATGACTGCCTGAAGTGTTGGACACATAGACATCATCAGATGCTGGGTTTCTTCCCTGGTGATGCTCTGCCAGCCCTTTACTGTAGCTGTCTGCACTTCCTGCTTGTGTTTTGGGTGTTTTGCCCTCAGTTTTGGCTTCAGCAAGAGAAACGCATGCTCAGTTGGATTCAGGTCAGATGATATGACTTGGCCATTGCAGAACATTCCACTTCTTTGCCTTAAAAATGTCTTTGGTTGCTTTTGCAATATGCTTCAGGTCAATGTCCAACTGCACTGTGAAGCATCGTCCAATGAGTTTTGAAGCATTTAATTGAATCTGAGCAGATAATGTAGCCCCAAACACTTCAGCTTTCATCCTGCTGCTCTTGTAAGCAAGACAAGACTTCACTAGAATAAATACAGAAGGTTTATCACAAGATGCAAACCATTGGTTAGCCTTAAAAATGGAAGGCCAGATTAGAGTTTGTCAAAAACCATCTAAAAAGCCTGTACAGTTGTGGAACAGCATACTATGGACAGATAAAACAAAGATCAACTACCAGAATGATGGGAAGACAAGAGAAGGAAGAAGGGAAGGAACTGCTCATGATCCAAAGCACACCACCTCATCAGTGAAGCATGGTGGAGGTACTGTTATGTCATGGCCATGTATGGCTGCCAGTGGAACTGGTTCTCTTGTATTTATTGATGATGTGACTGCTGACAAGAGCAGCAGGATGAAAGCTGAAGTGTTTGGGGCTACATTATCTGCTCAGATTCAACCAAATGCTTCAAAACTCATTGGACGATGCTTCACAGTGCAGTTGGACAATGACCTCAAGCATACTGCAAAAGCAACCAAATACATTTTTAAGGCAAAGAAGTGGAATGTTGTGCAATGGCCAAGTCATATCATCTGACCTGAATCCAACTGAGCATGCGTTTCTCTTGCTGAAGCCAAAACTGAGGGCGAAACACCCAAAACACAAGCAGGAAGTGCAGACGGCTACAGTAAAGGGCTGGCAGAGCATCACCAGGGAAGAAACCCAGCATCTGATGATGCCTATGTGTCCAACACTTCAGGCAGTCATTGACTGTAAAGGATTTGCAACCAAGTATTAAAACTGACTGTTTAATTGATGATTATGTTAGTTTGTCCAAATACTTATGAGCCCTTAAAGTCGGGGGACTGTGTGAAGAAATGGTTGTAATTCCTACATGGTTCATACTACATTTTTGAAAAAAGCCTTAAATGAAAGCTGAGAGTCTGCACTTTAAGCAGGTATTCATTGTTTCATTTAAAACCCATTGTGGTGGTGTACAGAGCCAAAATGATGACAACTGTATCATTGTCCAAATAATTATGGACCTGACTGTACGTATTATCAGAAACGTGTATTTAAAGTGTAAAGGTTAAAAGTACTCAAGTGATTTCAGTGATTTTGCCTGCTGGAACATGTCCGTTTGTGTTTCGTAGTTTTCATAGGTGATTTTTTTTTTAATGGTAGAAAGTTTGTTAGGGTTTACCATGTGTCTCCATGGTAAACCAAGGCACTTTAAAATCATCATCTTCTTCTTCTTCTTAGTTTGTTTTTAGAGGCAGTTTGCATCCAAAATGTTGCATTACTGCCTTCTACTGGGTTGAAAATAAAGCCCCTTTGACATAGAACCAAACAACTGCAGCATCATGCCACAACTGTGTGTGATTTTACACAGCATGCCTATTAGATAAGCAAAAAAGGCACAATGGGTGTGACGTGTAACACAACAGCATCGGCCTCTGTAGTGTGACATAACACATATGCATCAACAGTGCTTTATAAACAATAGAATGCTGCAGGGGTGACATTTTTTGTTGGACAATTCACAGGTTAGCATTGTCCTGGTTCCCTCAACAAAAAGCCAGTCATATTTTTCCACTGGACTTTGGATTATTGCAGAATAAAGTCTCTGTGTTCTACAGACGTTTATGATATTTACATGTTTTGTCCAGCAAGATAATCTTCACAAATTAACACCACTTTTATGATTTTTGAAGCATAAATGCAATCGCCAGAAGTAAAACACTAATGTTAGAATGTAGACAAACAACACTGGCTGTAAAGCTGTGTTCTGCGTGATGATGTTCTGTAGTCTCATTTAGCCACTTGTTTAACCGCCTTTTTTAAGACACATAAAGGCGTCAAAATTTCCGAATGGATTACTTACTGGCATACATTATGTCATAGAACAAAATGTGAAAGTCTCTTAAGCTTGTGTTAACCACAGACCTTATTTCAGGCATCTAACCAAAAACCCATTGACTTCGAGACGAAATAAGAGGCAAAAAAATGCAAACTCGTTTTCAGGTTTTTGGACTCATTCCTGCACCATTCTATAACAATGGCATAACGTGGCAATAACAATCTTTTACTGCTCCTGTTATGGTAGTTAATCTCGTCCTCTGCTCGAAATATTATCATATTTTTGTAAAAATGAAAGAGTGATTCCAGAGAGAAGCAGACAGAGGGGTCTACAGTCTGTGTTTGAAGGATATATCCAGGATGTCAAACTGACTCAGCAGCAACAACAGGTTTAAAAGACAAAGATAGTTAGAAGCTAAAGCCGAACTATAGGCTAGAGATCACAGTGTAAAAGTGAACCACCACATCACTGCTGATCCCCACACAAGACAATGAATATAAAGGGAAACTTCACTGATATTGAACCAGCTGTGTGGCATCGTAGTGTTTGCAGATGAAAGGCGTTTGGCTTCGTCACCGTGCTGCTGCCAGCACCTGGACCTCCGCTGCCGGACGGGCAGGGCTCTCCAGGGCAAGTCAAACAACATTCATCTGTGCACAGTGCGATGACACGCAGCTGGTTGAATATCAGCAAAGTTTCCTTGCTTCCCTTCACTGGTTCCTGTACAGCAGGGTCGGTCTTTGTTTTATAATCATTAAAAAGCAAAAGCAGCATGTGTACATTCAGTAGGCTATATCTTCAGTAGCTAGTTAGCTAACCCTACACTTTTCAGGGCTGATTCTGGTTTTGGAACAGGGAAGACATGTATATCTTTTTCCAACCTCTCCAGGTAACAAGTATCATTAATACACGACGTGCCCCAGGCACAACATTTAGCTCCAAATCCACAAAACCAGCCTGAAAATGAAGGAAATCTGAAATGACTGCATTAGAGTCAATGGAGCACAGCTGTGTTGTTGTCGGACCCTGGTCTGAGCCGATCTTATGCTATGTTATGATTGGCCAGTCTGTGTCTGGGGGCGGGACTTAGCGAAGGGTCAATTTCGGCCACTGTTCTTCTTCATTGAGTTAGCTGCTAACTGCTAGCTGCTCTTTTAAGTCTCCCAGCAGTTAATCACACATAAAACACATCGTCAAAACATGTCACTTGTCCCGTCCATGATCCTGTCCTACCAGCTGTCCCTTTAACACATACTTTGATTCAGTGCTGTTACTAGGCGAGACAACTCTGTCCCCACCTTCTATGATTACCTTCAATATAAAATGGTGAGGTGAAATAACGCTGTGAAATTCCTGCCTTGAACAGGCAGTGTAAACGGGACTTATGACTCAATTCTCCTGTCCCCTCATCCTCTAATAAAACTAGCCTTGTCAATCCTGAAAGCCTCCCTGAACAGCCCCTGCACTTCCTCTCCTTTTCCCATGATATCCAAAAACCTTCTTGTAGCATTATTTCTACTCTCTCAGATTTTCTTTTTGCCTCAGCAGCACAGTTACTCACCATGACCAGAAATGCTAAGAACTCAACTGTCTTTACACAAACAGTTTTCATCGTGTTTTCTACCTGATTTGTTCTCTCTTACTCTTTCCTAGTTGCCTCCTCATGACTTATCCTTTTCTTGGACTTGGTCTCCACATATGTATCATATCCACATCTCTACAGTGATGTAGTGTATGAGCTGACTGTCATCAAGGAGTTCTGTAGAACACATACAGTACATGAAAGCAACATGAGCAAAATAGCAGAAGAAGACAAGAGGCATACAGGCCAGCAACATTCATATCACATTCCACATGAGTCAAGGATTATGTAAAACACCTACATGTTTCCAACGGGGCCGTTCATACAGAGCTTCACAGATACTCAAATGACTCATTATTTAAATACCCGAATAACCAGTAGTTGTTAGTTGTCGGTTGCCAGACATTTCCACAGTCTGTTTCTCATTTCCAGTGAGTCCAGTGAGGTATCCAACAAGTGAGTTCTTCTTAAGAACTCAAAACAAAATATCTTCCTTCCTCTCCAGAGCCTCTCTGCAGATCATTACAATACCTTTGTTATCAATCCTTCTTGTATTACTCCTTTTGCATCGAGGCAACACACAGAGAACATGGGTTTTCCACCTATAACAGTCTAACCCTATATGGGCCCTAGGCCTTTCTGGGGTATTTTTACTGCCTTTACTTTTAAGCTCATATCACAGTCATTATAAAGGCTACATACACATGCTATATCTTGTTTTTTTCAGGACAATCTGGGCTAACCAGATTTGCCATCATTTCATGTCCTTCTATGTGCCTGTATTTTATATTAATTTTTATATCAATGAAAAAAACAAATCCGTGTGACTAAATTCTTACATTTTTACATGTATCTCACCATAGCAAGTTGGAAAATGACATATTCTGCCATATATGAAGAGGGGAGACTCTCTGGAATCTGACAATATAAGAACCATGATGCTGGGACATTCTGTCACTTCACAGCTGTCCAAAACATGTGGTTTGTGCCAGGCGGACATGATTGCCAGTATTTTTTCATTATTGCAAGAAATTCCATTGACTCATTCACAAGTCAAAAATGTGTTTTATCTGAAAGAAACATGCAATATTTACATCTAACAGAAAAATAGTCAACCAAGTGCAATGATGTCCTCCAAGATAATATTTGTTTTTCAGTTTCAGTTTTATATTGGGGAAACATTTTGGGCATTGGTGGGGGGGCACATGTCCGCCTCAACGTATATGGTGACTACGGCCCTGTCAGCATGCATAATTAGGCTGCAGTTGTCTGTTTGCGCAAAGGTGAAGTGGCTGGTCTTGTCATACAAAGTTTGATGGAGTGCCAACTGGACAATATGGAGATATTTGCATCTTGAAAGCCGGACTACAAACGTGGATAGACAGGGAGAAACACACGCAAGCCTAAGACGTGATAAGATACGATATTCCTCACTATATGAAGTGACTGGTAACAAGATCTGTATAATGGATTGTAAAGAAATTCGTCAGGTTTTTATTTTGTAGACACTTGAACTGTATTTATAGCGTGATGGGATGACAGCACAATGATGTGTGTAGTATCACTGGAAAGCTCTGATCCTGTGCTTTCATGTGATATGCGTGACATTTCTGTGCGAGCCTGCATTCGTGAGTAATCCATCCAAGAGTAATGTGTGTGCAAAGCTGTATGAAAGCTCTGTTATACATCATTTTAGTGTAACTTTACTACCGACAAGTGCTTGGTCTTCTCGGGAAGCTACGATTCCGCTGTTTCACGTGATATGCATGGCTTCTCGCTATGACGAACGGTTGCGGAGAAAATCCACAGAAAAGAACGGGTGTGAATTTGGACGCACTATGCGTCGTTCGGGCCCATAGGGCTAACTAACATTTACTTTATTATTGTTCACTCTGCTGATTATTTTCTCGATCAATTTATAATTTGGTCTGTAAAATGCTAGAAAATTGATAAAAATGGCCGCCACACTTTTTTAAAGCCCAACCCGATGTAATCATTTGCTCAAACATTATAAAATGAAAAGATATTGAAGTTACTATCAAATAACTCAAGCTGGAACTCACATAATTAATGATATATTAGTATAATTGATCGATTAATTGATGAATCTCTGCAACTCTTNGAAGTTACTATCAAATAACTCAAGCTGGAACTCACATAATTAATGATATATTAGTATAATTGATCGATTAATTGATGAATCTCTGCAACTCTTGAAGTGGTGAGCCAGCTATCTGACTTGCTTTTATATGCACCCATGTTGGTCCCATAGGAGATACAGACAGTGAAGTCATACATTCAGCCTTTTTTTATGTCACAGTGTGTACTTTACTTGTACGTTCCTCTATGACAAACTGAATGTGGCGCCACTAACACCTTGATCCATATTTCAGGTAATCTGACACATCTCTGTGTAAGACTTTAGCTGTTCCAGAAAAAAAGTTGCATTTTAACTTCGGGGAAGACATTTGGGAACTGATCAAACCACTAAAAATCTCGACAGGAAACTTGCAGGTTGGTGGCCCCTCAATGTGTACCACAATGATGTAGGATAAAAACCTCTCTATAAAGTACAGTTACATCTTCACCCATTTTGGTTATATGCCTATATTAAATAAAGACAAACTGGATGTGAGGTCACATTAGGGAGAGTGGCCAATAGTACATTTTTTGTTTTTAATTGTTGCTAATTGTTGGAGTTTATAAAGCGGTTTATTATTGGACATATTTTAAATGACACGTAGAATAAAGTTATTTTGATTAAACATTACTATTTTAAGCTCAGATTGGGTTATGTTCTTTTTCTGATAGAAGCGTTTGTTGCACATGATGTGTCCAAAGAAATCCAACCCTGATTTCTGAAAATCAGAAATCAGGGAAAAAGGGCTATTGTCTTCTTTCAAAATACAATTCTGTTTTCAAAGGAAATTTAACGTTTACATACAGTCTCTTTCAAAATAAAAACACTTTTTTGCACCACCCCTCCCCTCTCACAAGTATAAACAGTCCCTAACCTGTCCTTACAGGCTAGTGTTGGGTAATTTAATGAAAAAACAAGTCACTGTATTTTATTATCTCACTATAAAGTTTTAAAATTTTGCAAATTAGTAACCAAGTTAAAGCCTAACTGTCCAATAAAATAGACTATGAGGAAAAAGTAATGCCACCTGAAAAGTAGTTTCAGTATAAAGTAACACAAAATGGATCCAAGTAATAAACTTTGCAGTAAAATTGCTTCAGAATTATTGGGACTATATAGGTGAGCTGTCATTCCACTACTGCTGACTGGGTCGTCCCCCTGAAGTTGTACTGAACTGAACTCAGTGTTTGCTGTATTACAGCCAGATAATGTTGGCAAACACAAGCTGGCAAGTTCAATTCACGGTCAACGGCTACAACTTTAGCTGTAAGTATATAAAAGTAGAATGAAGCTGGCTGTTCACTGAGAGAGGTTTAAACAAATGAGACAACTGAATGAATGTCGCTCTCTGTTTAACTCACCAGTCTGCTGAGCGTCTGGTTGGCTGTCTGTGGGAATGAACAGTGAATCATCCAGTGATGTTTATCTGAATGTTTGTCTGTCTGTCTGACGTTTGTCCATCTGTCTGTCTGTCACTATAACCCCTTAAACAGGTAGGCAGCCTGTTTACTTGATAAAAGTTAACTGGGGGGGATGACATATTTTTATGTCGCTGCTTATTCATAAACTCATGCCTTGGTTCAGGTCATCAAGAAAAAACAAAGACACCACAGCTCAGGTATTTTGATTCAGCTCATCTCCTTATCTGTGACCAATCTCCTGTTTGGTTATTTCCTTGAGAGAAAATATCTGTCTGTTTCATAGTACTGCTGTTGACTGTCATAGAAAACTGATCCACATTTGCAGATGTGCAATGTAATGAAGTAATAGTATTTAGGTGTTGTTGGGTTTTTTAGAGTATTTCCTCTTTAGAGATATAATGTATTCATATGGTGTAGAGAGGTTTGGGGTGCATGAGAGAAAGAGGAGTGAGAGGGTACAGTCAGGTAAGTCTAGGCGGCAGAGAGAAATAGAGAAGTTAGTCAAGGAAAGGAGACAGTTAAGAAAGCAGTGGAAAAAGGCTACAGAAGAAGAAAGGGAGGGAATTAAGGTGTTGCAAGAGGAGTTGAGAAGCAGGCTAGCAGTTCTTAGAAGGGCGGAGCATCTCAGGAAAAAGAGGAGGAAGAAGGAATATGCTAGGACAGGTTTTTTCAGGGACCCTTTTAAGTTTGTTAAAGGATTGTTCAGCCAGGAAAAGGGAGGGCAGCTTAAAGCAGAAAGGTTAGAGGTTGAAGAATATTTGAGAAACACGTATTCAGATTTGGAGAAGAATAGGATAGTAGGTTTCCCACCTGATATCCCTCCATTAGGAGGGATAGAGCATGAGATGGATGTCAGGCCACCTAGGTGGAAGGAAGTTCAGGAGGTGGTCAGGCGTGCAAAGGCTTCTTCGGCCCCAGGGCCTAATGGAGTCCCCTACCGGGTTTATAAAAGTGCGCCTGATACCCTTAAATTTTTGTGGAAACAGCTAAGAATAGTTTGGGAAAAACAAATTATACCAAGAGCATGGCGTAGGGCAGGGGGTGTCCTCATTCCTAAGGAGAAGGAGTCTGTGGACCTTAGCCAGTTCCGGATGATTTCTCTCTTGAATGTGGAGGGGAAGATTTTCTTTAGTGTAGTAGCGCAGAGACTAGCTAGCTACTTAGAAAGGAATAGCTTAATAGATACCATGGTGCAGAAGGCAGGAATACCAGGTTTTTCAGGGTGTTTAGAGCATACTAGCATGATCTGGCACCAGATTCAGGCAGCGAAGATTAACAAAAGGGACCTACATGTAATATTTTTAGATCTTGCAAATGCGTTTGGTTCAGTACCGCACAGCCTCATTTGGAGTGCGTTTGACTACTTCAGAGTGCCACAGGTAGTTGTTAACTTAGTGAAAGCATATTTTCAGGATATTAGGTTGTGTCTAAGTACAGCAGGTTTCACAACAGGTTGGCAGAGGCTAGAAATAGGCATCATGGCAGGGTGTACAATTTCTCCATTAGCATTTACTATGGCAATGGAAGTAATCATCAGGGCTTCTAAGTGGGTGGTAGGTGGGGAGAGACGGCAGAATGGGTTGCATCTTCCACCAGTTAGGGCTTACATGGATGACATGACACTGGTGACCACAACAATGCCATGTACAAAGAGGCTACTAGAGAAGGTAAATAAGAACCTCAAGTGGGCCAGCATGAAAATCAAGCCTAGTAAATCTAGAAGCATCTCGATATGTAGAGGGAAGTTAAGTGATAGGAAGTTTGTCATAGATGATGAGGACATCCCAACAATTAGGGAAAAGTCAGTAAAGAGCTTAGGTAGGTGGTACAATGTAGAGTTGAATGATAAGGAACAGGTGGTGAAATTTAGAAAAGATGTGGCTGAAGGATTGGATAGAATAGATAAATCAGAACTTCCAGGAAAGTTGAAGTTGTGGTGTTTGCAATTTGGGCTATATCCTAGGTTAATGTGGCCATTGTCAGTTTATGAAATTCCAATATCTGTTGTGGAGAGAATGGAAAGGTCGGTTAGCTCCTACATTAGGAAGTGGTTGGGCGCTCCTAGGTGCCTAAGTAGTGTTGCATTGTATGGAAAAGGGATACTTCAGCTGCCAGTATCTAGTTTAACAGAGGAATTTAAATGTACCAAGGTCAGGACAGAGCTCTTGTTATCTGGGAGTAAGGACGTGGTAGTTAGGAGTGTGGTTCCAAATCCAACCAAGGGGAGGAAGTGGAACCCAAGATCGGCAGTTCAGGAGGCAGAGGCAGCTCTTAGACATGCAGAGATTGTAGGTAATGTTCAGTTTGGCCGGGGAGGCCTGGGGCTTGGCTCAGGTAAACCGGTATGGAATACAGCAGGCCTCAAAGATAAAAGAAAGCTGGTTGTAGAACAGATACGCAGACAGGAAGAGATAGTAAGGGGTGCAAAGGTAGTGGCCCAGGCTAAACAGGGACAGTGGTTGAATTGGGAAAGTGTAGAGAAGAGGAAGCTTAGTTGGAGGGACCTGTGGAGTATGGAGGAGAATCGTATTAGATTCCTGGTAGGGGCTACATACGATGTGTTACCAACCCCCCAGAACCTAAAACTGTGGGTAAATGAGGACCCATCATGCCCATTGTGTTCACGTACCGCAACTTTAAAGCATATTTTGTCAGGCTGTAAAGTTAGCTTGTCACAAGGCCGATATACATGGCGACATAATCAGGTGTTGAAATGTTTAGCTGCAGGCATCGAAGGGAAACGAAGACAGGTGAATTCAGAAGGTGTTAAGGATAGGGGCTTAGTAATTCAGTTTGTCCGTGAGGGAGAGAAATACAGAAGGGATAAGTTAGTGAGGAGGCAAGGGTGTGGCCGCCTAGAAGGTGCTTGTGATTGGGAAATGCAAGTAGATTTAGGGGGAAAGCTTGTTGTTCCTCAGGAAATAGTCTGTACCAGGCAGAGGCCTGACTTAGTGTTGTGGTCAGTGAGTCAACAGATAGTTTATTTCATTGAGCTGACAGTTCCTTGGGAAGACTCAGTGGAAGAAGCCTATGAAAGAAAAAAGCTTAGATATGCAGACTTAGGAGCAGAAGCTGAGCAGCGAGGATGGAAGACTAGGATTTGTCCAGTGGAAGTGGGGTGTAGGGGATTCATAGCAAGATCAACTGTCTCACTCCTGGGGGAACTCGGAGTGCGGGGACAGAATTTGAGGAAGACAGTGAGGGAAATGTCAGATGAAGCAATTAAATGCAGCCAGTTTATCTATTACAGAAGAAATAATGTCAGCTGGGGGCCAGCAGGGGGAACTACTAAGCAGGGCACATAACTCCTTGAGATCAGGTGGAGAGATCCACTTCCTGTCAGGAGAAATCCAGGAAGAGGAAGTATTTAAGTGTGGGAGTGGCCTATTGGAATCCATTTTGTTTGAGGCCATGCGGCAAGGTGAGTGTGCTTGCTGATCCTGTAAGTCCAGTTAGCTCCTTTAACTTTAGCTTATATTGTAGTTATGCTATGTAGTGTGTGAAATAGAGTATGGTGAATGTGACAGGAAAGCTAGTATCAGCATTGCTTCTGCCTGGAGCTCGCATGTATGGAGCCTGGGTTTGGTTGAAGATGGCAGTGCTGTTTGGGCTGAGAAAGCCATGTGTAAGTAAGAAGGAAATCCAGGAAGAGGAAGGTTATTTAAGTGTGGGAGTGGCCTATTTGAATCCATTTTGTTTGAGACCATGCTGCAAAGTGAGTGTGTTTGCTGATCCTGTGAGTTCATTTATCTCCTTTAACTTTAGCTTACATTGTAGTTATGCTATGTAGCGTGTGAAATAGAGTATGGTGAATGTGCTAGTAAAGGTAGTATCAGCATTGCTTCTGCCTGGAGCTCGCATAAACGGAGCCTGGGCTTGGTTGAAGTTGGCAGTGCTGTTTGGGCTGAGATCACTGTCCAGCCTCCTGGAGGTGTCATTGTTGTGAGGGCTCGTCCTGGGGAGGTAGACTGTACAGCCTAACCCGGCGGGGGAGTGTGATAGCCTAACAAGGCTTCCTTCCCTGGGTCTACCTCCTCTGTGGTAGTATAGGTAAGGTAAAGGAGGTTGTTCGGTTAGTGTGGGGAGCAGTGAGACCTGGCATTAGGGGAGTGTCTCTGGGACGCCAGAGATCACTGTCTAGCCTCCTGGAGGTGTCGTGGGACTAACTAGACGAAACACCGGTGAAAGGAGGTTCCCACCCGATGACCCCAAAGACATGCTAGTTATCACTGCTCACGGGTCTGTATAGTTAAGCCTTGCCATAATAGCTTATCGTAGGGCTTAGGAGGATTATTCACTGAGCGCTGATCCCTTTTTTTTTTTTATTATTATTAGAGCACAAACTTCTTGTGTTTATTTGAATTACTTAAGTTTTAATATTTCAACTTTCATTTTTACTCATCTTCATTTTCTTGCATAAAATGTTGGAAAAGGCCTGCCTTTACTCAGATACATTCCCCATAAGCATCTTTGTAACTTACGACAAGATAGGGAGGGAAAGGAGGAAGGAAGGAGGGACCAATGGAGCAGACCTAATTTTTCTTCAACTGTAATGTAAACTCCATTTCTAATGTCATGTAGGCCTACGTGTTAAGAAGAAATAAACTTCATAATCTTCAGAATTCCGACAGCTAGCATTTTAATTAGGCTACCAGAACTTACTTGAACTTTTACTTTCAATACTTGAGTATGTTTAAGATCATGAAATTACTTTTGATACATAAGTACAGCAAATATCAGATAATTTGGCTTTTTCTCAAGTAATATTCTAATAGATGACTCTACCAAAGTTATTTTCCAGTAAGATGTCTGTACTTTCACTCAGGTGTGGCTCCCTGGTACTTCCATGATTGTCCTCAAAAACGCATCTCAACTTAAACACAAAGCCATCTTTCTTCACAAATATAATATTATTATATCCTAAGCTGAAAAATTAGAAAGAAAAGGGCAGCTGTAATTTTGATGTGCAC